ATCGCATCCAGTTGACCACAAAAAGAAAAGAAATAAAATAGCTAAAAGTGGGTGGAGATCTTGTTGGGAAGAAGTGCTTTGATGGGAAGAGGAAGAGAATAGTTGGTGGGGAATATGAAGGAAGGCATATAAAGTATAAGAAGATATAATACATACACGTAAAATACATAAATTTTAAGTACTATGTTGAGGCAGGGAAGGCAGCTCATGCCAATAATCTAAGAATTTGGGAAGAAGATTTTTGTAAATTCACGGCTAGCCTGGATTACACATTGAGACCCTGCAGCAAAAGAAGAGGGGGATGGGAGAAGGATGAGGGAGGGAAGGAAGGAGGAGGAAAGAGGGAGAAACCTTATTTCAAGAGCATGGATTGTAGCATAAGAACTGTTTAATGGGTAGGTAATCACTGCAGGCAATGTGGATTGCCTGTAATAATGCAGATGTGCAAAACCAGTAATGTGCTCCAGGGCAGCTCTGGTCAGAGATGGAGGTCACACAGACATTTCAAGGCTCCTGTGTTCCTGTGAAAGCAGAACACAATTGGACCAGAGGGCTGACCTCTCCAAGCTGTTTGAAATGCAGAGAAAGACAACAGACCACGAGAGAGGGCAAAGGAAGTATGTAAGAGTAAGTTCTCAAAAACAGTTTCATTTTAAGCACCTTCATAGTTCTCACATATTGTGCAAAATGCTGCTAAGACTTCATATTCACATTATGAAGACCTATAGCTGAAGTATTCATGAAAATGGCTTAATAGAGCATGTGGAAGTTTCGTGTGTATGCCATATTTAGCAATTAACCTGTAGTTTAATGGTGAGAGGGATCCCCTTTCTCTTTCTTAGAACTCTCAGGTTTCAGAACAGAGTGCCTGTTGGGATAAATACTGGCTGGTAAATAATTTCTTTTCAGCTGAAGTGTCCTGTTAGCTCTAGCATATAGCTATTATTTTGATTCAGTCCATCTTGCTTCCCATAAGTTTTCTTAGTTCATATAGTAATTCTTAGATCAAATAGCTACTGTTCCCTGTTCACTGACTAACACATATAGGCCAGCTTTCAAATGCATCATGATTTAAGGAAACAGAACATCAACTTTCACAAACACTGGAGGGGAAAGCCTATGGTTGGGTTAAGCTATGCAATAAGTGAGAATTTCAAGGCTGAGTTTTGTCTAGGAACCCTTGGTGGAACTTGGCAATCACTCATCTTTACATTTTAGTTTTAATAATGAAACCTGCAGGTCAGTCTGCACAAAAGCTGCCCAGACTGGTCCTGTGAGAGATGGAGGCTAGCAGTATTCAGGTGACCTAAAGCATGGCTTCATACTTGATCCAGGAGGAAAGGCCACAGTTAGTCCAGGGGTCCTCCCTCTCACCTGTCTGGAGTTCGCCTCTTCCCATTTTCGTTCACATCCAGAAGCAGCTCTGAGGAATCGACAGGGGAGGTGGTGCTGGCATCCAGAAGCAGCTGCTCATGCTGGGCGAGGTACTGGGCAGGGTTCTGTTTGGCTAGCCTTGCGCAGTGGAGGAGTTCACGCTGTAGCAGGGGCAGGTTGGCCTGCAAGAACATGACAGGCATGAGATGGGATAGTCAGAGGCTGCTCCTGATTTGTCTACCTGCTGAGTCTGCTGCCTAAAACATGGAGCTACAAAAGTGTAGCCACATTTTAGTCAGCACATGCTTGCCTCCGGGTTCAATCTTACAAGGTGCTGGGCTCGAACCATGGCCTTGTGTGAAGTGTTTGCCCCTGCATGTCTCTTTACCTCTCTGCTTTAACACTTCCTGTGGAACTTGTGACCCCTAAGGGCCCCAAAATTGTGGAAGTTCTATAAGAACTAAGATTCAAGTTTCATTCATGAGAAAATGTTCATTTTCCCCAAAGAAAACAGGATATATAAAGTACTCATTGTACAATTAAGCTTAGAAAAGGCCCCCTCAGCACACTTGATTGCATTTAGGGACTTGCTGGTCAAACAATAAGCCAATGTCATGAACTCTATTCTGTCAACTTCTACCTTCAGATGACAGGCTGATAGATAAATCTGATATACACATGGTAAGATATCAAAATGAAACCAAAGACAGCAATTTATTTACTATGAGCTGCTTTGATATTAGAAATTCACGTTGTTGATGTTTTATTTATTTTCTTTCTCTTTTTATTTATGGGGGAGGGGATAGCAATAGAAAATGAACTGCACTCACTGTTCACACAATAATACGTCACACTAAAACAAAAATCAATAATATAAATGTCATCATGACTCAAGGATTTGATTTGTAGGGGCTAGGCCATGGACACTGATTAATCCATCAGGTAGAAGAACATTTCTAAATATAGGACACCCTACCTGCCTCCATCTTTGGACCCAAGAGACTTTGAAACC